AGAGAAAGGGAGAGTTATGAAAAATTCTTCTAATATATTTACTAACCTTTTTCATTCCGCAATATTTTTAAGAAGGATGTCTTCAGTTTCTCATCCGTTATAATGTGCAAAAATATGTGCTACGATAAGCTTGAAAACAATACCTGCTGGTCGTTTAACGATTCATTTTAAAGTACGAAGCTTCTACACCTTTAAAAGTTTAAAATAGTTTCGTGAAAACATAGTCGTGGAACGTCAAACCTGTACATTTTGTTTACAAAATAATTTTATACTTTAAAACTTGACATGCCGTTGACATTATCATCGTTCGGTGCATAATGCAAAGTACTTGTTCTGGCAGATTTTATGCATTATTGAAAAGAGCCTATCTTTCTCTCGGTTGTATTATTACTTAGAATGCGGAGACTTTATGTATTTATGACAAAAGCGAGTTGCCGTAGTTTGAAATAGTAGGAAGATTAAAAGAACTGAAGAGCACCAATATAATACAATACTTTCGACCTTTTAGAATAGTCGAACAAAGAAAGAAATTCCTGAGTGATTCCTGTTGCTTGCAAACGATACAGAACATTTTTATCGTATATAAAAGTCCGCAATGTAGTTAGAATGTATTTCTATTCTGTGAGAGATCGTAAAATAACGAGGTCATAAATACTCGAGCAAACGTGAAACTCGTCTAATAGAACTTTCATTGACTAATGCAAATTACGCGATACAAATTACACTGTTTTCGGTCCAATAATTTTCCTGCTAGGGAAAGTGCGAACTGTTCAAGTGATCAATTAACACGATGTTTCATTATGGTAATGCCGGCCTAGCGTTACCAAACACATTAATGGTTACGGTATAATTGATAAAATAATAATAATAATAATATTAGTAATGATTGAGTAATAATATGACACTGATAATAGCAATAATTTGTATAAAAATATAATAACTATAATAATAATTCACATGAGAATATATTAATAATAATAATAATTTATATAATGATAATAATATAAATCAATGCTTTATTCATTATTCCCTGGAAATTCGAATACGTCTCTCATCAAACTATGTACAATAAATTCTCCCCAATTGACACTCAGATTGTACACAAAAATGGACAATTTGGGAAGAAGTAATACAATTATCCGAGCCATGCGGTTCGTTTTTATAGTTACCGATTGCCAACAACCATAAAAAAAGATAAGCCGCGAGGCTCGAACAATCCTATCTCCTCTTCCCAATTTGTCTATTTTTGTGCACAATCGGAGCGTCAATTAGGAAGAATTTATTGTAGTTGGTTGTTTGAGAAAGGATAGAAGTATTTCCAAGATTGCTATGTCATAGAAAACCTAAGCGAGCTTCCTTCTCGTGTGTACATCATATCGTACTAATGTTCTGACGCAAGTAGCGGTCTATTGCAACCACGNATTCATTGTGATAAATATCGGTGACATATGGGTGACAAATATGGGTGACATATGGGTGACCCTAATTTCTGACCAATTTTGAAAATTCATTTTCGCTATAATGTATTGAAACAAACCTAATTTGATTAGGATGTTTCGTATGTGAAAGAGTTCCAACGTCATCCATTGTGATAAATTTCAACTTTCTAGTCTCGGTTTAATTCATTAAATTGCGTTGACTTTGAGGGAATTTTAGTGGTTAATTGTCGGCGCTGAACGTGTTAAATTTTGCGAAAGAGCTCGTCCCAGAGTATTAAGAATATTTCTTTGGAGCATTAGGTTGTAGGTTTTAATTACTTGTTTACTATTAATGGAGTTTGATGACGTTTGTCTTTAAGAGGCCGAAGCAATTGAACCATGAACTGGTAGAGTAAATTCTCCCCAATTGACACTCAGATTGTACACAAAAATGGACAATTTGGGAAGAAGTAATACAATTATCCGAGCCATGCGGTTCGTTTTTATAGTTACCGATTGCCAACAACCATAAAAAAAGATAAGCCGCGAGGCTCGAACAATCCTATCTCCTCTTCCCAATTTGTCTATTTTTGTGCACAATCGGAGCGTCAATTAGGAAGAATTTATTGTAGTTGGTTGTTTGAGAAAGGATAGAAGTATTTCCAAGATTGCTATGTCATAGAAAACCTAAGCGAGCTTCCTTCTCGTGTGTACATCATATCGTACTAATGTTCTGACGCAAGTAGCGGTCTATTGCAACCACGCACAATAGTTGCTCCTACTACAAGAAACACAGTCGATCAACTCGAATGGCAGCGCATCGCGTGCCAAAGAAACAAAGACATACCTCCAAGCAAGCCATTTCTCAATATTACTGCCATTTCTACATTTTAGCAAATGGCATTACGACCAACATACATCAACCGATACAAACATAAACGTTCTTTAGGTCTTACAGCTCTTTACCTTCTTGAAGAAAGAATTAACCATCTAACCGCGAGCGAACTTTTGATTTTTCGATCTGAAATCGCGGGCTAGTTTTATTCGTTATGCAAATGCGTTTTAAACATTAAATTCAAAAGCATATAAAAAGGAAAACCCCAAAAAGATATCACAAAATTTTCAAAAATTGAAGAATTCTTTTTATTTATTTCTCTGCTGGATTTCACGAAATATTTATAAAGTGAATTCCACATTTCCTGCGGTTCGACGGTCAATGATAATAAAATGATAATAAAATAATAATAAAAACATGATAAAATCTGCACAAACGTGCATTCCAAGGAAACACCTGCTTGCAGATCTTTTGACACGCGTTTACGTGTATGCACTGGACATAATACAAATTGTAATATTTTATAAACTAATCTTGCTATTACCAAAGTGAAAGACCCCTTTATTTGAATAAATGGGCCTTGCATCTGCGTAACGGGAAAGCATACACCTGCGACTACCATTAAGTCTTTGAGTCGTATGAGATTTACGAGCCCCGCCAATCCGCAAAAAAGTTGGATCGCTCCAGTTCTATGTCTGGCACAATTTTTCCCCGCTTTGGTTTTCTCTTCATCGTAGTACGAAGAGACTCGTGGTGAAAATGCTCGATGTTCTCCAGCATTACCCATGACTTGATCGAAGAGGGATGGCAACCACGTGCCAACGCTAGAAATCATCCCCTTGGTTTCTGGGAGAGTGATTCCGAAGTGACCGCGTAGTTAGCATACAGGAATTCAGGTAGGCGCGCCTAGATTAGGCTAGATTGAATCTGGGTTAGGCCGATTTCTACCGCAGAGGAGGGTTCGACTGGGTGACGCGCTTACCTGAATTGGCGTACACCGCAGCCTTTGTCGGTTTGCCTGAATCAACACTTTCGAGCCGCCATGCATCGAAGAATGCAATTTATTTATAAAGAGAACAAATTCGGATTTGTCGACATTAACAAGGCCGATGATATCGTCAATATGTTTACAGCCGGTTACGAAAATATTCTGGACACTTTCTAAAGCAGAATGACTTTTTTAACGTTGGATCAAACAACTCGATTCTTCTTTTAGATAATGGTAGAACTGGTCTACTAGACAGTTACTAAAACATTGTTTTCAAATATTGTAACTGGTTGGGATGACAAAAGAAAAGAAACGATGGGTTTACAATGAAAGTTTAAGAGTTGCTTGGTCTAATTTTAGAAAAGTTATTCTGCTCTAAAAAGTGTTCGAATATTTTTGTGACCGACTGTACATTCGTTAAAATATGCAAGTAATGTGAAAGTACCGATAGTTGACCAGTTATGAAAAATTATTAAATGGAGAAGCTTTAGAGAGACAACGTGAATTTCGCGTTTTCTAAATATTTTGTAGAATTTGACAAGAAAACTAAATTTAAAAGATCTTTAATTCAAAATTAAAAGAGTTTATTTTTTTTATTTCTCTTTTTATATCTTTTTTGATCCAATTTTTAAGACGCATCTGCAGAAGAAATAAAATTACTTCGCGATTTCATACCGAAAAATGAAAAACTCGCCCGCGCTTAGAGGGTTAATGATCTGTAGAATAAAGGCCTAAGTTTATACAGGGTATGTCAGGGAAATAAGGACCTCCCGAGATACAATTCCTTAAAGAAGTGCGTACTTACCTTGTAGTACATAGAATTTGATTACACTGATTATTATTAAGCTATGTCTAATTAAAAACTGGTTTCGTTATCCTTCTCGGTTACAATACAGGGTATCCCAAAAGTCACTCGGCATCTGGTAATGCGGGGTTCCCGATTGCGAGTGACTTTTGGGACACCTTGTACAGTAAGCCGATAACACTTACTTACTGCAAGTAACGGTGACGAAGTACGGAAACAAATGTGGTGATTCTGTAAGCTTTGGGTGAATAATTTCGGTGAATCTGACTCAATAACGGAAAAGATTGTTGATTCGTATTTTCCTTTGTAACCACAGTTGGTGTTTGATTACATTCGTACTATGTACAGATGGCAATGTAATTAGGCGTCGTCATTATCATCAAAGAGAGCCGGAGTCGTCTGTAGGGGTACGAAATTGGAATTCCTGGCGCAAACGTCTTCGGGGCCGGGTTCATGATGGCATTTCAATAAACTGCCGTTTCGCGCCGATCAATTTCTAGAACGTGTTCATACATATGTGTAAGATGACAGATAGGTGTACAGTGTTAATCAAATGCGGAAGTAACTCTCCCCAGATGATGCCACCTCGTCGTTATAACCGTTCGTGCTTATAACTAGATAATAAATAAAGACAATTTGTTATTTTTAACAAAAAAAGCTACGCACTTTTGCTATAAATACATAAAATCCCGGGTCTACTTGCAGCTGGATGGCGTATCTTTATGCAAAATAAAAATCGTCTGCAACAATTGTATATAGGACGTAGGAACTAAGCAGAAGTATTTTCTCTTATGATAATAATTTGAATAAGTTCAGATAATAAATTGTGTCACATTCAGTTTTGAAGAGTAATTATAATGAAAAAGTTTGATTACTTTGAAAAGTAATTATGATATTAATAATATTCAGGAAAATACAATTTTAGAGAAGTATTTTATTATTTTTCAGAACTTACACCAAAGCTGTTTTGAGCTCTGCGTCTGCAGAAATGGTCAAGGTCAGTAATAAAGCATTGCACGATATGGAATCGCAAATAAACAACGGTTTCTTATCGAACAGAATTAAGATTTTGGAGAATTCGAAATAACTTGCATGGCTTGTATGGGAAATTGTACATAACATGTCAATTACGCATAATATGTATATTCGCCGAACAAACTAAAGCCTCGAACAGTTGCGAATCATCTTATATTGCTGGCAATATTTCATTTAGTTCATGGATTAAAAATGTATCTAGAAAACAATTAATCCGAGTAAGATGAGTAAAATGATAGAATATATTGTTCTTTTAATAGTTTATTGATTAATTTCTTCCACGTTAATTTTTATAATAAGCTTCTCCATTTACTGCTGCATCGGAAAATACATACATATTTTTTGAAAAATTAGGTAAATAATAATGGTCGACAATGATTGTTTTGATTGACTTATTCGAATAAAAGATGGAAAATTATACGAATGAATAGATAAAATAATTTGTTACGATGAATAATTGTTGTTCGAATAAAATATTCAACTAAAAAGGATTCATTCGGATAATTATTTTAGATAAATATTTATTCGAAACAATTCGGATAATGCCCAACTCTGGTTTGGGATAATTAATTCTCTACACAAAAAAAGGGAATGTTGCCTTTATAGAACAAAATGGTGAGCAATATAAAAGGTATTGTTTAACATATATTTAAATGTATATTGATAGTAACTAGGTTGTGAACATACCGATGACTCGAGTATAAATTTCCATTATTGCAAAAATGGTAATCAAATATCTACCGGGAATTTCACATGAAAAGAAGACTGATCTCTGAGGTGGAAAACGGTTGTGCTTTTTTCTGAGTCACTGATGGATAGATACGCGCACCTAAGTGAGATTTAATTGCTACTTCGCTTTAGACTCTCTGCAAAAGTCTTCCGTTTCTTCTTACATTTTTCAGTTGTAAAACTGCGTTTTACTGACAGTGACTAATATCGTTTACAGTGTAAGGTGTGACTGTAATAATCATCTAATCAGCGTGATTTTCTTTGTACAAAATTAGATTTACGAGGTAAAGAAATCCTACTTTTGATATTCGATTTTCGACAGTCCTATGGGACCTTTTTGGTCACTCGAATCTCTCCTTTTGTACATATATTTGATTGAACGAATATGAAAACATGTATCCGAGCCTCGGAAATATTGTGAAGACGCGAGCTCGGATTTTCCTTTGAAATATCCGCTGGGAGAACATGCAAATAGGTGGGAATATGGTAAAACCAATAGAAAATTGGGACATTGCCTTCAGTCTACAATGCTTTCAGACATAATGTAGAAATTCCACATCTGTACCCTGTAAGAACGATTCGCAAAGAATCACTTTGTCCGGAAAAAAAACCATAAACTTATTAAATGCAGAGTAATTGCACTCAGCTTCTCGAAAATAATATTGTTCGTATAATATGTGGAAAAATGTCAAAAACTGAAGATTTAAATGTTCCCTTCTTTCAATTAAACAATTTTCAATGGAAAGTATTTTCCATAGAATTTATTTACATAATTTTCTTTTTTCATTCCTTCAACTCGGCACAGTTACATTTTTTCCGGTTATAATAATTTTTTAGAAAAAAACATGAAAAAATGTATACTTAATTCCTTGCATTTTTTACAGAATTTTAAACGTTCATTTTTACTATCTACCCAGTATAGACAATCAATTACTTGACGCAATTATTACAGTCAATTTGTGTAGAAGCAAAAC